GGTATTTAATTGATCTAAATTTGTAAGTTGAAATGCTTAATAAAATAATTCTACAAGTTGAAGTGTTCAATAAGTAAAATTTTATAAGTTGAAGTGTTTAACGGGTCAAAATAAAAGTTGAAGGTGCTATAAAATTAAGTAACAAAATTTATGGCGAATTTATGTATTCAGCCAATGTTTTTAATTAGAAATTGTCTATTATTCTCTTTCTCTATTATTGTTTCCTTAATAGTACTGTAAATTAGGGATGACAACAGATGATATACCCATATAAAATGCACTATCAAATCCAAACCCAATTATAAATTAGGTATCTGAAGTTATTAGAATCTTATGAATCACAATACGAATCTTATGATTCGATTCAATTTTTATGCTCAATGATTCGAATCTTACGATGAATAAGTATTGATGGTGAACCTTACTATTCATATGATTAGAATCTTACAATTTAAATTGATTATTATGTCAAATGATTCTCCTATCCAATAAAACCAATGGAGAAGTCAATATAGAAAAAAAAAGAGAATATAATTATTTGAAAAGATAAATAATGAAGGGCTTGAATTTGAAAATGATAATGAAATATGGATTTGGATAGGAAACTTTAGTGGCTTGATAGTTTTCTTTTTTTGTTATATTAAAATTTTAATTTCATAGTTTGATATTATGAACTTAACAACTACGCAAGTCTTTAAGTTCTCTTTCATTTTTTGTTTAGTAAACGATTTAGAATTGAAATTTAAACAAATACATTACTTGCAATTATATCTTTTGATAAAATTAATGGAAATATATCCATAAATATATATGTATTTTTATTTTTAATTAATTTTGAAAAGTTATACTGAATTTTACGATTCAATTCTTGACTCTAAATATAAAAATTTCAATTCTCGATTTGACAGCTATGAAACTATTTAAAAATTTTTCTTTCGTACCCGAACCTGTCTTGAGCCCAATTACAATTAACCGTTTAAATATTTAAACATGTTTAAATATCCCTTTAGCATTAAAAATATTTTTATTTTTATTTTTAAAAATAAAAAATGAGTAAACATTATAAAGTTATTATTTCGACTTAACAAAAATATAATATAAAATATTAATATAATATAAAATATTAAGAATAATTATAGCATTAATTATAATTGAAAAGATGCATATGCATTAATTATAAATGAAAGAGTATATATATATATATAATTTTCTTTTGAAAAAAAAAAATTATTTTTAAATATTTTTAAAATACTGTATTAACGCGTAATTTGATAGTGGGTACTCGAGTTCTTTGAATTGTGATCTGATATTTGGTAATAAACCGTCCAAACCGGTCTATTCACATATCCGGAACATTTGTCAACATATTCACTATCCGAACATGTCAAAATTGGATCGGATTAAATCGGGTAAAATTATCGATTGTCATCCTTACTGTAAACCCTCTAAAAAGTCTCTTCACATATAAGTAATTTTGTTTAAAAAAAAAAAAAGCCATCTATTTATATGTTTCTGATCCTAAAAAAAAATCTAATCTTAAGTAATTGAATATTTTTTTTTTTTTTGAAAAATCAAACTAGAATTTCATTCAATAGAAATTGTATACAGATATGGAATACAGATCAATATGTTTCTATATTTTTGTATAAGAAGCTTAATAATAAACCACTTATACAAAGAATAAAAAAATACAATCTTGATTTGAAGTATTTGATCGAATTTATTTGTGCCATAGACGATCGCTTGCTCCACTTGATGGCTATTTATGGCCACTGTTTGACTTCATGGTTTTCTACATGTCCGATCTGATTACATTCAAATTTCTTCCTTCTATTGGAGAGAAGATCTGCACTTCTTTCTGCATAACTATCCAAATAATAAAAGATGCTAGACAAAATCACCATAATGATGATAGCAATAACTCAGAATTAAATTTGAGGACAAAATTTCAATATATGGGCAATAATAAATTTCAATAAATGGGCGACAATAAGTCAAATCTATTTACAGATCTGAAAATTATTTGCAAAAAAACCAAATAAAATAAGAAAAGGGGTGACCACTGTGAGAGCTAACCAGTGGCCGCCCGTGAAAGAAGAGAAGAGAGATTTTAAGTTTTTAGAGGCTTCGTCCAATAAGTTCTTTCCGTCCAAAAGGAGTCATTTTGCCATTGTGTCACTAAGTTATTGAATATCTAAACTACTTTATTGTTATAAAAATTAATTTTACAAGATAAATTATTATTATTATCTATTGTTATTACTTTAACTTAGTAAAATTCAAAACAATTGACAACAAGCCCAAAAATTAAAAGAAAAAAAGAGAGAGATTTTTCAATTTTTCAAACAAAAAATTATTTTTCAATTTTTTTTCTAAAATGTATAATTCATTAATTATAATATCAAACATTATGAATACTCATATAAAATAGATGTGAAATTTTATTATTAGAAGTTAATAGAGTTCGTTGATTTTTTAACAAATCAAAATCTATATATTCTTTTTAATAATAATAAAATTGAAAATAAAAGATATAATATTAAATCCTTCTACTTGAAAATGATCTTGGTAAAAAAATATAAATTTTTATGGTATTAACTAGTCATTTAATTAATTTGAATGATAAAATAATAACTATTCTGGATTTTTCATACCTGAATTGTTTTTTCAAAAATTTTTAACAAATCAAAAAAATTCTTTATATTCTTTTAAATAATAAAATTAAAAGAATGATAAAATAATAACTATTCTGGATTTTTCATACCTGAATTGTTTTTTCAAAAATTTTTAACAAATCAAAAAAATTCTTTATATTCTTTTAAATAATAAAATTAAAAATAAAAAAGCTAATATTAGATCATTCTACTCGAAAATGATATTGACAAAAGATATAAATTTTTATCGTAACAACTAGTCATTTAATTGATTTGGATAATAAAATAATAACTCTTCTAGATTTTTTATATGTGGATTGTTTTTCAAGAATTTGCAACATATGACTACACAGACAAGTTCCTACCACTATTCATCAGTAATATTACTAGAGGAACATGCCACACTAACAGGCTCCATTGATAGAAGATCCACATCTGCAAATTAAGATCTAAGATCTCCAATCAAATAAATCAAACATCATATTTTTATTTAGCAATATACTCTCATAAAGAAGGGACCAAACTCTCACGGAGAAGGGCAAGAAACTCCAAATATGATAAGACAAAACAATATTAACAAGAACCAAGAAAAAAACATATCTATAAGTTTTTAAAAGTGAATAAGATATATTTTCAAAAAAGAAAAAAAAAAGTGAATAGGAGATTAAAAGAAAGAAAGAGTAGAAGTTGAATCAAAATAAAGAATAGAAGGCAGGTGTTACTGCTGATCAACAGCAGCAGTCCCAAACTAAAATTAATGTTAGACGGTTAGAGAGAAAAAAGAGAAAATATTTATCCAAATTTACACATACAAGACAAAGTTATGACATATATTTTATCAAAATTATAGCAATTTTAACTCATATATTTCATATATATGCATGCTATACAAGTGATCAGGGGCAGAGTTAACTCTCTTTTAACATGGGGAAGCCAATGGTATTTTTAAGATTGGAAGAGTATAGAGACAACACACAAGAATTTTTAAGATTTGCAAACACCTAAACATGTGTTAATGGTGACCTTGAGTGACAAACAAATTTTGGTTTGTGTTTGTTCACGCATTGAAATTAATAAACTAAAAATGATTTTTTTTTGAGTGAAAATGGATGAATAGAATTAAGAATCAAAAATTACTAACTCAACCGTTATAATGATATCAAAGGTTGAGAAATTTCCTCAATTCAACCTTATTGCAACTTGGACTAAAAAGGGCAAAATGGAGTGGTGGAACTAGAAAAACAATATTAGGAGGGCGAAAATTTATTTTCAAATTTTAAGTGTTAGAAATTGAAAAAATTTACTATTTTATAAATAAAATGCAAAATATTCTAAATTTTGCAAGTTAAATTTTTAAAAAATTTTAAAGTTAGAGGAGGCAAAGGTCACTGCTGGCTACTCCTAATTTTACGGTTGTATATATGTAAATTCATATTTTAATTACACGCACACCCTATAATAAGTATAAAATTTTGAAGAATCAAATATATGAATAAAGGTTATTTATATTATTCATGTTTAAACTTCTCAATTATTTCTAATTTTGTGTTTAAATAGAAAATATTTTTATTTAAATGTTTGAATCACTTTGCTTCTTATAGTCAAATGCATTTTGCTCACAGGAATCACTAAATGCTTAATAAATCGATCTAGGTCCACATCTCATTCATAAAACTACTGAATTTGAATTGGGTTCAGTTCTCACTTGGCTGGTGCCGCAATTAATTTGTAAATTGACAAATACAATCCTCACTCCCTTCAATTCAGCAATTCCAAAGGGGTAGCCATCCTTCTTCAGATTTCATTAATATCATTCAAACAAAACACCAATGTTTTTATACTTTACGTTTTCAAATACTTATCACATTTGGATATTTCACCTCCTTTAAAGAAAATCATTTAATTTCTAAATTATAATAAATTATAGAGTAAATTGATTGTATTATCTTTATTTTGTTTAAGTTATAATAAATTATTGAGGAATTCAACGATCATTATTGGACAAATACAAAAGTTAAAAATGAAAAAATAATTTATTATTTGTGAAAAATACACAAATTGACAAATATTTTGAGATATAATATTTTCTCGAATGTGAAAAATATTTAGAAGCCGATGGAGTATTATTTTAATTTCCATTTCACTCCGATGCCAACGCAATAAATATTTCAATTTTTTATTATTATTTGATAAATAGTATTCTTCCATCTCCATTTAATTGTTAGGTGAGAGATTAATTTATTCATACATTTTTAATGCGTTTCAACCATAAAAACAAACTATTATTTCAAATCTCCATTTGAAGGAAACACGTTTTATTAATTTACGGTAAACTATGTTTTATTCGTTGCTGCCGCCAATCAAGTATTGGTATTTAATACAACTTTTTTAGTCCTCAGTTGGGCAATTAGGATAAAAAATGGCAGAAACAGAGCTTGGTAGCAGAGACCAAAGGTGGTCTCTTAAAGGCATGACTGCTCTTGTCACTGGTGGAACCAAAGGCATCGGGTTATTTCTCTTTCTCTTTTCATTGCTTTTATTCCATTTTTCATATTTGAGTATTTCACCACTAAATTCTTAGTTTAGTAATTCTATTATGTTTGTGAAATAGACGTGCAATAGTTGAAGAACTAGCAGGATTTGGAGCCAGAGTTCATACATGTTCACGTAACGAGAAAGATTTTAACGAAAGGGTTAAAGAATGGAAAGCTAAAGGCTATCAAGTAAGCTTCTCTGTCTGTGATCTCACTTGTAGAACCCAGAGAGAGAAGCTGATTGATACAGTCTCCTCTGTTTTTGATGGAAAGCTCAACATCCTTGTAAGTTTAATTATTCTCTTTCACAAGTTGTTTAATTAATCCATTTCTTGGAAGATTTTTTTTTAAAAAACAGTTTCAAAATATGAAAATGTAATTACTGATAGTTTTGTCTTTGTGGGATTGAAGTTGTTGAATTTAAGATTACTAGCTTTTCAATTAATTTTAGCTAAATATTCAAACACGATTCGGTTTTAATAGCATCCAGCTTGAGGTGGAGTAGCTCAACTAATGAGGCATGTCAAGTCAACTTAAATATTATATTCTATATATAATATAATAATTCGTTAAAATGAACTTTAATTCGATTTTATTAAGTTTTAATTTGATGTTAATAAATAATTTACCTTTTTAAAGGTAAGTTAGTCCCTTAGAGTCCAATAAAGTATTTGAAATTATCTTAAATCTAGTCAAGTTTTGAGTTCAATTCAAGCAAAAACTAAATCTCAAATTAGATCGAGTTAAATTTTGAGTTTTGACCTTTGTATTCGAGTCAAACTTTAATTGATCAATTCGACATATCTTAATTATATTCTTAGTAACCATTAGGAGGATTTTTTTCTCTCCAATACTAGAATTTTTTTTAATCTTAAATATTAACTTAATTGATAAGTGGGTTTTTTTTTTCCACCTTAACATAAATCAATCAATTGGAAAAACTACAATGCAGAATGTTAATAATTATGTACCCATAGTGAATATTAATGGCCATTAGATTTTATTGTTTAAAACTTAGCCATTGGATGCTAGAATAAAAGAGAAACGAACTACCTATTATATAAGTAAAAAAATTCCTATTTAGTTTAAAAACAAAAATATTGCAAATAAATATTTAATATTTATTTATTAACCCAAAATCAATTTCATCAACTTTATTTTTTTGAAAGCCTGCTTTTATTTGTATAGGAAAAAATTCATATCACATATATTATGCAATATAAGTTTTTATAAATGTATAGCATTAAACATTCTTATCTATTCTCCTAACGAATATATTACTATTAGCCGATTAATTTTTATTATTTTAAATATTTATATTAATACTTCATTATTAGCTATTAACTTTTGTAAAAGCAATTGTGTGACTTTATTAAATTTAATATTTTAATTTACACATCATTTACTTTTGTAAAGCAATGTGTGACCTTTACATTAAATTTAATATTTATTAACTCATTACTTATTCGTCATTTTTTATTATTTTTTTAAAATTCTCATTTACTGATTATAATATTATATATTATTTAAGGAACCTAGCGGGATTTGTGGTTACATTTTTTTTCTGCTTACGAGAATTGTTAGTGTTAAGAATTATATAAAATAAATTAAAAATTATTTTTATAAAAATCATTTTTCTAACGGTTTTATAAAAAATATTTCTAACAGTTTAAAAAAATATTTATCCAAAATGAAATTGAAAAAATATATAATTAAAAACAATGATATGTATTTTTTTTTATCAGTAATTTAAAAAGACATTTTTTCTACTAAAAGAAGGAAAAAAGAAATTTGTAGAGAATAAAAAAAAAAACTTATATAACTAGTGATATGTACCTGCTATAGTAGGTTAGGATGCCAAATAGCTAGTTTTTCTATCTATTCATAATTTTTTAAATCTGTATTGTAGTAAAAGCCTAAATCAATTAAAGATGAGTCTGATTATAATTTTTGTTATCTCGTGTCGTTTCGTGTCTTTATTCTAAATATATGATCTGGACAATTCTCCTCCCTTGTGCTAGCTTTGAAAAGTGAGTTAGACCGATTCATTTTATAATATGATATCGAATTACTATTACATTTTATGAGACTGCCTGGTGATTGCATTTTATTTTCCATTGAATCAGGTGAATAATGCTGGAATAGTAGCCCTCAAAGATTGTTTGAATTATACTAGCGAAGAGTACTCAAACATAATGAGTACAAATCTTGAGGCTCCATATCATATAAGTCAACTAGCACATCCACTTCTCAAAACATCAGGAAATGGAAGCATTGTTTTTATATCCTCTATTGCTGGTATAGTCTCTTTGCCCATCATATCTGTATATGCAGCCACTAAAGGTATATATGGTTTAAAAGATTGTTTGCTTTGTCTCAACTCAACTGTTCAGAATAACCAATTCGCAAGTGTTCTGTTTCCTGCAGGGGCAATCAACCAATTGACCAAGAATTTGGCTTGCGAATGGGCGAAAGACAATATTCGCACAAACACTGTTGCTCCATCGGGTGTCAAGACCGAAATCCTGACAGAACCTGTATTTTCTCTTCTCCTTTGGTTTTTTTTTTTTTTTATATGCTTTGTCTTCAAACAATTGTTTATATTTTTATTTTTTACATAAAAAATTAATTTAAACACTACACTAAGAAAATTAAAAATCTTGTTTCAGGACCTTGCTGTTATAAAGGCATACGGTGGGGTATTAGATCGCACTCCAATGGGTCGCATGGCGGAGCCAAACGAGGTATCATCGGTGGTGGCATTCCTTTGCCTTCCAGCTGCTTCATACATAACTGGCCAAATTATTTGTGTGGATGGAGGGATTACTGTAAATGGTCTTTCACCAAATTAAAACCAATATTTGTCTCTTCCAAACTTCAAAAAGCATCTAAATTGTATTTGCAGCTGTAAACTAGTTAAAATCTGGGATTTCGCATTCTTAAAAGTTGTAAGATGTAAAAATATAATTCAAACAATTATGTTCTGTTGTACTGTATTATCTCCTTAATACAAGTTGAATTCATTTAAACAAATTTCATTATATAATATAACGGCTTAAAAAAGCCTAAATATATAGTAATAAGCTGTATGAGCTGAATTTTGAAAGGTTATACTTTAGAATGGACAAGTTAGCAAGGAAAAAGAATCAGCTATTTCTAATATTTTGTTTTGTGACAGCTTATTTCGCAAGTATACGAATCGCCACAAGTAATATATGATGAGTAGAGTATCGTATCCACAGGGATTGTAATCCAAGTACCAAATTATGTTATCTTGTTATTATTTAAACGCAAATTATGTTATCTTGTTATTATTTAACGATAAATTAAGAGATTTGTTGTATAAATGTAAAATAAACAAGAGTCAGAAAACAAAATTGATTTAAAAGAATCAAGGAAGTAGCTCACTAGGGGTTTTTTGATTTCACTTAACTCTATCCAATTATTTCATTAGTTTCTTGATCAATTTAATATATTCAAAGTAGGGGAAACAGCCCAAAAATCACTAACAAAGCTCTCCGATGTATTGTTAGCTATTTTACCCGGTCCTAATTACCTATCTTCATAGCGCAATCAAACATGAATTAAATCATTAAGTTTAATGGTTGTTTGGTGAATTCATAACCTGAAGGTCACTTCACTTTGAAAACCCCCCATGAGTCAAGACCGTATAGCTTTCCGCATCAAGTTATTATTTCTATGTGTTTTTATTAACCTTTTCATTATCAAAGATCCTTCTTCCGATAGTGATAATTGAAATAAATCAATCTAGGGCGAAAAATTCTGCTAAAAGCATTTAAGTTTCATTAATAAATCATAACTTGAATAAGGAAAACATAAAATCTATATTTGCAATAAATTGGAAAAGAGATTAAGCTACAAATCAAACCCCTCAGTATAAGAGTTTAGTTAACACATAGTACCTTAAATAAAACTCAATTATACTTTGATAAATATTCCATAATCAATAAATGATAATGAAAGAAATAAACAAGATTAAGAGTTTAAGAAATAAGAAATAGTGATGAATTGCTTGGATGGCTTCCTTGAAACTTGCACAACTCTTGAATACTTAACTTCTAAAGAAACATAAAACTTTACTCGTAGCACAGACTATATAAATGCAGAGAAAGAAAGAGTGGAGTGTTAGTGTGTGAAGATGGATTTCTATAATCTCCTTCTCTCTTTAAATAGACTTCTTGCGGGGAGAAACTTCTTACATATGTTAGGGAATAAATTCCACCTTGTTTATGGAATAAAGTCTTCAATCAAGTTTCAATTTCTCTCAATTATGTCTTTTCCATGGTGCATAATTAGGCTTGATTTGTCATGTGAAGAAAGTTTGTCCAAGAATTACGTCCATAAATGGTGGAAGATTTGGTTGGCAACTTTTGACTAAGTTTAGGATTTCCCATTTTGTAGCACGGGCGTGGCACTGTAAGTAACGGTCTGGGCGTGCACTCCTCTGGAAGTTCTTATGTAGTAAAACAGCAACGGGCATGCTGATTAGGCATACGGGCACAACTGTAGCATAGGCGTGCGTTAATGAGTTTTTACCTTACTTTTGTCCTTTTTCTTGTCAAACCCTACATTTTTCCTCAACAATCAAAGTGAATTGTTGTTTCAAGGAAGCTGTTTAAATAAAACATATCAAAAACATATCAATATTACATACAAACTAATTTAAATAAATTAAAAGTAATAGAAATTTTAATCAAAATCACAATAAAAATACTATAAAAATAACACTTATCATTTTGCTTTACCCCAATGATTTTTTTTCCTTCTAAAAAAGATTAAACTTAGTTACTTTTTTCTTTATCAAATTATATCCTCCAATCTTTCAACTTGTGAATTTCATTTATAAATGAATTTTCAGTAAAATTTCATAATTTTTTTTTTAAGTTTGACATGCTAAATTTAAAATATGCAGTTCATTTGAATTTAATTACTAGTGAAAATTTTTTATCCTTCGTAATAAATACACATTTAAATTATGCGGCATATAAAAGTATCTAAAAGTATAAATTATGAATCAATCTATCATTTATACTCAAATACACTAGTTAGACCACTGTTTTTAAAATTTAATTATATAGTTCCTCAATGTTATTGCCATATTCTAATTAGAAGAGACAATGGAAATAAAATTTGCATGTCATATTTTTATGCTCAAAGGGCATCATTCATCAAAATATATACTTGCGTTGAAACCTCTCAAAACAATGCCGTAATAGAAAGAATACGGCCCAATATATAATTTAACATCTAAACTTTGATAAAAAATTATGTGGCAGCTTGAACTGCACTTTTTTTAATAATCATGCACCTCTTTATATTAAAAATATAGATATTTGCTAGAGTCTTGATGATGTTTCAAGCTCACTTGCCATGCCAATATAAGCGTTATACTGTCATTCATGCAGTTCATTTGATCAGTATACTTCCTTCTCCTTTGATTATAAATAAAACTCATATGAATTAATTTTTAATAAATTTCCTAATTTTAATATATTAAAGTCTTTGATTCTCTGCCTTACTGCTCATAGATGTAAATTTGATCCTAGAGTTCCAAAATGCATATATTCTTGGTTATAAGTTTGACAGTAAAGGTTATATTCTTTTGGATATTCACATTAGAGAGATATTTTATTTCCAGAAATTTCATTTTTCATGAGCATCTCTTTCCTTTCTCTACTAATATTCCTCAAAATTTTGATATTCCTCTTCCTCAAGATTCTTCTCTTTCCCATTTTCGTATACCCAAGCACTCATCTTCTTCTTCTATCCCTCATTCTACTACTGTACCTTTTATACTCTTCATTTCAGCTCCTGGACAATCTTCTAAAACTAGAAAACTACCGGTATATTTGTAGGATTACCATTATAATTTGTCTTCTGCTTTTGTTCTCTAATAAGTCCTCGCGCTTATCAGATAATTTTCATCCTTTATATCTTTTATCTTCGGTTGTTTTCTATAAACATTTATCTCCATCATAACATCAAATCACCTTTTCTTTTTATTAATTGTTGGAGTACGTGCGTAATCCCACATCGGATAAATACAACTAACTAAAATGACATATAATGTGAAGGGTGAACCAACCAAAATGGCTTAAGCCATTTTGTATTAAAGGTACCATGTTATTACTGATCTCCCACCTGGGAAAAGTGCTCTAGTATGCAATTGAATCTTCAAAATCAAATATAATCCTAATGGTTCAATAGAAAGGTATAAAGCTTATTTTTTAACCAAACGTTAAAAAACAAAGGGCATCGACTACTCTAAGTCATTCTGCCTTGTTAAAATTACAACAATCTACTTATTATCGGCCTTTGCTGCTGCTCATAATTGGCATCTTTACCAACTTGATGTTCACAATCTTTTCTTTATAGAGATAACCATAAAGAAGTTTACATAGTCTTACCTCGAGGCTATTCCGCTACTGTTACAAAACCTAATCAAGTTTGTCATCTTCAAAAGCCTCTTTATGGCCTTAAACAAGCAAGCTGATAGTTGTTTTCCAGTACTCCATTGCACTTATTTTGCTTAATTATATGGGTATTGATAGAGAGGTGCTGTCTTTTGCATGATATATGATGCGATGAGTCAACTATTTCGCGGTAGCTTGTCTATTGGCAGAACTTACTTCATTTGGGAGGCAATTTCTAAATTTTCTATTCTTTTTGGTCGGCTAGCTTGTCTATTGGCAGAACTTACTTCAATTTGGGAGGCAATTTCTAAATTTTCTTTCTTTTTGGTAATTTTTTTTCAAATTTCTTTTCTGCTATTTAATTGCATTGTATTATTCTAAGTCAAGCAATGGGCATACAAGCATTTTCTTTTTAAATCCCACTTTGAGAGCATCAATGACTGGATTTATTTTCCAATGGGACTTCATTGGTCATTGGCGTGGCACTAATGTAACTATCAATAATTTGAGATTTCAATTTAGAGTTGCCACTATTGAGATCATTTCATTTGAATATCGACTTGAACATAGAAACACGTGTAAATTTTTTTTTTTTTGTTAAAAAAACTTAAAGTGCAAAAGTTTGGCGCGATCCTCTTGTCCATATTCAAGTTATTCATGTTAATAAAAGTGTTGGCCCATTAATTGAAAGCACTTGTACTGGAGTTGAAAAATCAATCTTTACAAGTCTTGCTGGGATTCAACAAAATGACAACAGAATGACATTATAAATGGTCTTGTCGCTAAATTCCATTGCTAAACCGTTAGTATGTTGCATGCTACTTTATCACGCAAATTAGCATTGGATTAATAACGGATTTACCCATAATATTCCCTGCATATTCCTGCTAAATTGTTGCCTATTAGTTGCTAAAATACATTATATATATATATAAATATATATATATGTATATATGAAAGTTAATATATATATATGTATATGAAAGTTGAATAGTTAATAATAATTATAAAAATTCACTACATTATAAAAATAAAAAATTAAAGTGCATCAGCCATAGTTTATTATATAATAAATGTTAAAATTACAGTGCATAAACTTTAATTGACTGCACCACCCGAGTTGGAGGCCTAATGGTAAAAACATTGATCATTCGCCTGCTTGATATAGATTCGATCCTTCATAACAGTTCTCACGCATAAAGTCCAACTTGACAAAAAATAAATATTCAGTTCTCTTCGTCTTCTTGATTATTTTCACTCTCTATCATCTCGTCGTGTTTATATTGAGCAAAAAATTCATCATTTATCATGAAATTGTTCACGCAAAAGAATAATAATTATATCTCTCTACACATTAATAGGTTATGGATATATTTTTTTCCAATATTAGAAATCTTGGTTTCAAAATGTTCAATAACATTCTTAAATTTAGCAAGGGTGTAGTTAAAATTTTCTTTTGTAATAATAGCATGCATAAGAGGATATAGATCGTATTTTCCTATAATTCACATGTATTTGTATAGATCGTATTTTCCTATAATTTCATAAACATAAAATTATTAATAATTTTATTAGCAATTAAGGTTAGAAGTTGGAAGT